CCCCCCCCCCCCCCCCCCCCCCCCCCCCCCCCCCCCCCCCCCCCCCCCCCTTAAGTAAACAGGAAAAGAGAATTAAAAAATGTATAAAAATTTTAATGCCAATAAAATAGTAGTCATGAGAAACTAGAATTTTTGACAGTACTCCTCCACTCTCGTAATAACTGTCTGCTATCTGATTATTTTCGGAATATTTTTTTCGAAATTTTAACTGGTAGTTTTGCTAGAAGACTGCGGGAGACAACGGATACTATGAATGTTATAACATTTCTTGCGGTGTAGTAATTCCGAAAACGAATGAATTTAGGTACAGCTTTTCTTGTGCAATCGCAGTCTTAATTAAATTTTGAAGTCTGCGTGCCATCTTAAACATATAAGGAAATCTAAACTAGACTTTCAGAAACAAAGTAAGGAAATTTCTATGATCGGTCACTAGGAAATTGCTTTAACGAACTCTGTTTGTGATCATAGTAACGAAGGCCGCTTCGATAGCAAATAATTTTCTATTTCCAAAGACTATTTATTTGCTGGATTTTTGTTTCTTAATAATTACTATGCTGACTGTGTTATCAACATCAATAACATAGTCATGAAGCGAGAAGACAATATCAAATTACTTGGTATGAAATTATGATCAAATCTCCATGAAAAAAATCATATTGAAACAGTCAACTCAAGTCGACATAACCCATAGTTCAAGTCGACTTGAACTGCAGAAAAAAAAAAGTGTTGATCATGATTATTCAGGAAAAGATTTGCCTGGTTCGAGTCGACATGAACCATAGTAGTAAGTCGACTTGAACGGCAGGAAGTATGACACTTTGGACTATATACCGATGAAAAACACCTGATAGACTGGTATCTGGGTATCCAGAGATTCGAACTGGTTTTCTAAAGATCTCCTAGAAAAGCGATCTATAAGCGAATATTGTTCGGAAAGAATTTTGCTTAAGAAAACATAGGCAAAACTGTTTTTTTTTGATTGCTGAAGACTTCCAATCTCTGCCTTTTATCGTCTTTGAGTTATTCAAAAAGCGCTAATCAGCGCGTCTCGTGTACAGAGTTAAACTGACACCACGATGTCTGTTAAAGTAACCGTGTTCTTTTAGGGACATATTTGGTTCACAGTTTACAATGTTAATTTATTCAAATATCCTTTCTTTCAATGCAGTTGTGAAGTATTCAGGCATGCTAGGTCTGTTATAGATTGTTTACATACATTGGCGGTAAAGAGATATTTAAATGTGTTAAATACCGATGAAAAACTGGCCTCGAAAAAGAAATTACAATTAAAGAAGAATTTGAAAGTTATTCAAAAGGCTGCAAGAGCAAAAGTTGGCGTTAAGAAAACTGGAGCAAAAACTCCAACGATTTTGGATAAAGAACCGGTAAGAAAATAAGTCTTTGTTTTCTCTTACGTATACCGTCTTTCCGTATTTTCCTTTTTGTGCATAGGTTGAACAAGTTAAAATAGTGGTGACAAAAGCCAAGGCTAGTCGAAAAGGAAATATGAAAATTAATGTGAGTATCTGCATGAGACATAATGGCACGGAGAGAAACATTACCTTCCCTCTCTTCTAGCATAAACGAAAAACATAGTTACATTTTTTATTTTTAGAGATTAGTATTAACCGAAGTTACCAATGTTCAACCAACAACAACAGTCTTATAAGAGACAGATGTGTATTTTTGTGGTTTTTTGTTTGTTTTATTTTCATCTCTTCTGTTTTGCGTGTGTTTGTTGATGAATTATTTTCTTACGGTTGTTAGGAAAATGTACTTTTTCATTCTTTATCTTTGTCTTGTACTAAGTACCTGAATTTTTTCTTAGTTTTGTTCTTGTTCTTGAGGGTGAGGTGGCACATTAGCATTACTTTATTAAATAATACTAATATTTATATACTATATATTTTTCAATAATATTAATTTATCTATTGTTTTAACTATTTATAACTAAAAAGATAAATTATTATATTAATATAATATTATAAAATATAGTTAATAATACTAAAAAGATCGATAATTTCAGTAGCTATTAATGTTTTACAATATGAACATTATGTTAAGGTATTACCTTCCCAAGGAATTATCAATTTCTTCTTAAAATTTATTTGAAAAGCATTATAAAAATTTTATTGCTCTTCATTCTGCTGAGTTAATTACTTCCTTTGTATCAGAAGTGCATTTTCGGTGAAAATTTGCATTTTAAACGGTGCATTTTTCTACTGTGACTGAAAGCTACGTACCACAGAACGCCATCTATCATGGGTGTGGTGTCGTTTTTTGGAGTATTCACATTTACATCAGGTTTCTTATGTGCTAAATTTCATTTTTTAATCGAAATTAATTAAAATTACTTGTTTTTTCCCATTTCAAAAGTGGGGACTTCCATAAAATACCGACCAACAATCGTCTGTCAGCTGTCCGGATGTCAGGGAAAAACTCATGGCCTTCAAAAACTGTTAATGAGAAAGAGTGCGAAGTTGAACGTCTGAATTTTTTAGTTATCTAAACGCAGTGTACATTCGACCATCTACAGTTTACTAATAAAAATAGTGTCCTAATTTCTGAAACTGAGAAAGTAGGTTATCGACTATGACGCAACTAAAATGACAGAAAGCGACCTCTAGAAGTAATCTTATCGGTGGAAACTTATTTGAATGAGTAAATCAGGTGTTTTTGAGGAAGGTCAAATAACAGTACAAAAAATGAAATTGATCTTCTATATAGATCGAATTAATTTCTCTGTTGTTTCAATAATAATGATACCCCTTTTCATTTCGTTACATATACAGTTTAAATAGAATAACGACAAATCTCGGGTGGTTGGAAGAGCCTATCGAAGAGGCTTAAGCCGTGTTTTGAATTTATGTGGAGATGATTCACACCGAAAATCATGATTAAAGTCGGTTAATATAAATTCAAAGCAGCCATTTAGTCATGATAAACAGCTCCTTAGCATTGTATAGTGGCCCAATATGTATGTCGTCGATGAGTAGGAAAACTTTTAACATGAAGTCCAATGAATCATGATATAACCTTACTCGTTATATTATAGCAATTTCATTCACATCAGTAAGGAAACGCAGATCAGAAATATAATCTGTGGAAAGCGCGAGTGAAAATTGTATACCGTGCATTATATATATATATTTATATATTTTCTATATATTATATATATATATATATATTTATATATTTTATATATATTATATATATATATATATCTATATTATATAGATTCTATATATATATCTATATTATATAGATTCTATATATATATCAATATATAATCTATATAATATATATATGTACATATATATATTATATAGATTATATATTGATATATATATAGAATCTATATAATATAGATATATATATAGAATCTATATAATATAGATATATATATATATATAATATATATAAAATATATAAATATATATATATATATATAATATATAGAAAATATATAAATATATATATATAATGCACGGTATACAATTTTCACTCGCGCTTTCCACAGATTATATTTCTGATCTGCGTTTCCTTACTGATGTGAATGAAATTGCTATAATATAACGAGTAAGGTTATATCATGATTCATTGGACTTCATGTTAAAAGTTTTCCTACTCATCGACGACATACATATTGGGCCACTATACAATGCTAAGGAGCTGTTTATCATGACTAAATGGCTGCTTTGAATTTATATTAACCGACTTTAATCATGATTTTCGGTGTGAATCATCTCCACATAAATTCAAAACACGGCTTAAGCCTCTTCGATAGGCTCTTCCAACCACCCGAGATTTGTCGTTATTCTATTTAAACTGTATATGTAACGAAATGAAAAGGGGTATCATTATTATTGAAACAACAGAGAAATTAATTCGATCTATATAGAAGATCAATTTCATTTTTTGTACTGTTATTTGACCTTCCTCAAAAACACCTGATTTACTCATTCAAATAAGTTTCCACCGATAAGATTACTTCTAGAGGTCGCTTTCTGTCATTTTAGTTGCGTCATAGTCGATAACCTACTTTCTCAGTTTCAGAAATTAGGACACTATTTTTATTAGTAAACTGTAGATGGTCGAATGTACACTGCGTTTAGATAACTAAAAAATTCAGACGTTCAACTTCGCACTCTTTCTCATTAACAGTTTTTGAAGGCCATGAGTTTTTCCCTGACATCCGGACAGCTGACAGACGATTGTTGGTCGGTATTTTATGGAAGTCCCCACTTTTGAAATGGGAAAAAACAAGTAATTTTAATTAATTTCGATTAAAAAATGAAATTTAGCACATAAGAAACCTGATGTAAATGTGAATACTCCAAAAAACGACACCACACCCATGATAGATGGCGTTCTGTGGTACGTAGCTTTCAGTCACAGTAGAAAAATGCACCGTTTAAAATGCAAATTTTCACCGAAAATGCACTTCTGATACAAAGGAAGTAATTAACTCAGCAGAATGAAGAGCAATAAAATTTTTATAATGCTTTTCAAATAAATTTTAAGAAGAAATTGATAATTCCTTGGGAAGGTAATACCTTAACATAATGTTCATATTGTAAAACATTAATAGCTACTGAAATTATCGATCTTTTTAGTATTATTAACTATATTTTATAATATTATATTAATATAATAATTTATCTTTTTAGTTATAAATAGTTAAAACAATAGATAAATTAATATTATTGAAAAATATATAGTATATAAATATTAGTATTATTTAATAAAGTAATGCTAATGTGCCACCTCACCCTCAAGAACAAGAACAAAACTAAGAAAAAATTCAGGTACTTAGTACAAGACAAAGATAAAGAATGAAAAAGTACATTTTCCTAACAACCGTAAGAAAATAATTCATCAACAAACACACGCAAAACAGAAGAGATGAAAATAAAACAAACAAAAAACCACAAAAATACACATCTGTCTCTTATAAGACTGTTGTTGTTGGTTGAACATTGGTAACTTCGGTTAATACTAATCTCTAAAAATAAAAAATGTAACTATGTTTTTCGTTTATGCTAGAAGAGAGGGAAGGTAATGTTTCTCTCCGTGCCATTATGTCTCATGCAGATACTCACATTAATTTTCATATTTCCTTTTCGACTAGCCTTGGCTTTTGTCACCACTATTTTAACTTGTTCAACCTATGCACAAAAAGGAAAATACGGAAAGACGGTATACGTAAGAGAAAACAAAGACTTATTTTCTTACCGGTTCTTTATCCAAAATCGTTGGAGTTTTTGCTCCAGTTTTCTTAACGCCAACTTTTGCTCTTGCAGCCTTT